TGGGCAGAACACAAATAGCCCATTGCGTAGCTTTGTGCTTAACTTCAAACAAACACAGGTTTTAGTATGGCCTGGTGGCAACGTACAGAACTATTTTGACACATCTGTCCTTTCCCTTCAATGATAACACTGAAATTCAACAAACATTTCCGACGTTACTCAAAGCACCGATATTAGAATTATTCTAGGAAGAAAAAAAAAATCAATTAAAAAAAGAATACCAGATATATTCCCAGCATACACTTAGACAAATGTAAATTGCAGTGTATATTATCATAGATAGATTAGCCCAATCAATGCGACATATTCTACACCACGTGACAAGTGATAGTGGTAAATTTTCATTAATATTTTAGTACTTTATTTGGAAATTCAAAATTAACTATTAATTAGCCTGTACGAAATAATGTACTAGACATTAATTTTTGAAAAGTATATTTTTGTTTGCTCTGTAGAAAGTTAATTAATGTAACGTGAACAAAATATTAGCTTTTAATTATGGTGGGTATAGTTTAACCTAACATTTATAATTACACTACAGATCAGTTCGTACACGGAACAACGAACCACGTGACTGATAATTTCAAGAAACCGACTTCTTTAAGGTCACCTGTTTTATAGTGTTAAGCTGTATGCTTTAGACGATGACTGTGTGATGTTTTTTGTTTGCACCTTTAGGCTCCCCGAAAACATATTTCTTATCATTATGGAGAAATCATCGAACACGTACACTGAGTAAACCGTCTTTGTTTGAACATTGTTCGTAGCCACTCGAGGGCTATCTGCGCTAGCCATCCATATTTAGAAAAGGACAACTGAATGGAAGGCAGCAAGTCAATAACACCCACCGTCAACTCTTGAGCTACTCTTTACCAAAGAAAAGTGGCATTGACTGTCACATTATAACGCTCCTGCAAGTAACAGAGCCGGATATGGTCGGTGACGGGATTCAAACCCACAGTCCTCAAAGTGTGAGTTTAGCGCCCTAACCACCAGATCATGCCAGGCTTCGAACCGTGTTTCAGTGCTTAAAAAACAACAATTTCTTTGAAAGTCATGTTACAATATTTAGTCATGTATCGCTTTAATTTGGGTAGTAGAACGTAAGATAATACTTTCTTTTTCAATACAAATTTATAAATACAAGCTTGTAATAAACACTAAATTCACACACCTATTCCACAAAGAACGAACTACGTCAGTTACTATCAGTGAATGCATATTTTTTATTAAACTTTGTTTTCGTCTTCTGTCGCTGATCGGGAATAAAAAGAAAGACCATTTCATTTTTCAAAGAAGATAGGAACATTGACATATAAATAGATTTGAACGAAGAAGTTTCGTAAAGAGCCCGAACGGTAGGTAGTGTGATGTAAAATTACTCATACTTGAAATGTTCATAAAAGTGACCCGAAAAACGGGGCTAACTCGGTAATCCGTGGTCAGATGTTAACGCAACTTGTTTTATTCTGTTTCTATTCTCATTTCATTACAAATATGGCGCTATTGTGCGCCGCTTTTGCTGTATTTAATTACAGACAAGCAAACAAACAAACAATATCATTGTTTTAGTAGTTTATAGATAACAGCTAGCCGATATTCGACTGCTTTTTGTTAACTGTATATATAGCTAAAATAAGGAAGACTTAACCATTTTGTGCCATTTATTTCAAGCGTAAATTTGCCTTCATCAAATATATTTTCTTGAATTATGAATAACACACGTGGATTGAAATATTTAATTAAATTATCTCAAAATCAACCTTCATTTCGGTGCAATATTGAAATTAGCTTGAATTCTTCATAACTTCTGAATAGTGGGTGATCAAACGAGTCACGGGTGATCTAGTATATTATAATTTACGAACAATAAATTATTTGGTTCAAACAAGCGTACGTGACTGCACCATTTATTGTTGTGAATCTTAATTTATAGGATTATTTGGTTCAATCAAGCGTACGTGACTGCACCATTTATTGTTGTGAATCTTATTTATAGGATTATTTGGTTCAATCAAACGTACGTGACTGCACCATTTATTGTTGTGAATCTTAATTTATAGGATTATTTGGTTCAATCAAGCGTACGTGACTGCACCATTTATTGTTGTGAATCTTAATTTATAAGATTATTTGGTTCAATCAAACGTACGTGACTGCACCATTTATTGTTGTGAATCTTAATTTATAGAATTATTTGGTTCAATCAAACGTACGTGATTGCACCATTTATTGTTGTGAATCTTAATTTATAAGATTATTTGGTTCAATCAAACGTACGTGACTGCACCATTTATTGTTGTGAATCTTAATTTATAGGATTATTTGGTTCAATCAAACGTACGTGATTGCACCATTTATTGTTGTGAATCTTAATTTATAGGATTATTTGGTTCAATCAAACGTACGTGATTGCACCATTTATTGTTGTGAATCTCAATCTATAGGAATAACATTAGTTTTTGTAATTATGCTTGAAACATATCATTCTGAATTTGAGTTAGGTGTTGGATGTAATGATGTTTCGCTTGCCATCAAGGTAAGTGAGAATGGCCGATGATGTAGCTTTCCATCAAGGTAAGTGAGAATTATCGATGATGTAGCTTTCCGTCAAGGTAAGTGGGAATGGTCGATGAAGTTGCTATACATCAAGGTAAGTGAGAATGGTCGATGATGTAGCTTTCCGTCAAGGTAAGTGGGAATGGTCGATGATGTAGCTTTCCATCAAGGTAAGTGAGAATGGTCGATGATGTAGCGTTCCCGTCAAGGTATGTGAGAATGGTCGATGATGTAGCGTTCCCGTCAAGGTATGTGAGAATGGTCGATGATGTAGCGTTCCCGTCAAGGTAT